AGTAGATTAAGATTCTAACCTCAAAACTCGAATCTAACAGTTCAAACTCCAACAATCAAGCTTGGAGGTCTACTCTCCCACTCAAAAGCTTCTCCTCCTTCTTCCTAGAGTCTCTCTCTCTCTAAAAGACAAGATTTGATACAAAAATGATATGTTTTCTCGACAGTCCCTGACTTAACCCTCTGCTGGGACACGTGGCATCAGCTGATTAGCTCTTCTCAAAAAGGTGACTAACTGACAAGACAAGATTATGACAAAGTGTGCTCAACAAGCTAGGCGGCAAGAGCACTCCGGCAGTGATGATCTCGGCTAAGGACAAAGCTTCAGCAAGTAGGGTAACAGTGACATCGGCCTGGAAGGACAACACTTGACTAAGATGTGCCACACCTTGGCCTAGATGTGCCACACCTCGGTCTAGGTCATATCAATCCAGGAACAAAATCACTTAGGTGCAAGGACAACATCTCTGCCTAGATAATACACATCCCGGCCTTGGTGCTGCACACCTCGGCCTAGATAGTGACATCTCGGCCAATATGCCAGGGCGAAGATGGAGGTCAACCAAGGTGATTCCAAGATAATTCTAAGTGTAAAAAGGGTTCAAAGGTGACTAGGCTTAAGATGACCTTGGCAACACACTAGGCAAGAACAAAGCACGCAGGCAACACTCAAGCAAAACAAGACAACATTTGCAAATGTAACATAACAAGACTAGATCATACATAAATGTATGCAAGTATGACTAAGTTGAAGTGAGGGTTGTTACACCGAACTCGGCGCATCATTCAAATTGTATTGTATTTCAATACGCTTCTTTGAATACATGTATCCAATGTCGCATTCATATGCCATCTTAGATAGCCGAGCCTACTTAGTTACATTTTGCATGTGTTGCATTAGGCACTTGACATAGCTAGGATCATGCATTGATTACTAACTAGCTTCTGTTTTGGCTTGGAGTACACTATAAGTGTTTATGTTTTAGCATCCTTGCATGTGTGTAACTGACTGCCATGATAGCATGCTTGCCATGAGGTTATGTGCTTAAATGATTAACTGCATGAATGCCTGTGGATGAAGGCTTCACTGCTTGAATTGGAACAATTCATCAAAATGTACGTTTTAAGCCCACTTGAGAGTGGCAAATCATGTTTTAAGCCCATTTAAGGGTGGCAAATCCGCGCTTTAGCCTACTTGAGGGTAGCAACTTCAAACCATTTTCGAAAAACAAACATGAGATGTTTTGTTCCAAATTGAGTGATTTAGTCTATACATGTGTATTGTACACATCACATAGTAAGTTAGGTTAATAAATCGGAATAAGAACACATGTGTTTTCAAAAACAACATATCATGTTAGTAGAGGCCGATATTTGATCAGGCGAGCAGGGGTGCTCATTTCAGGACCTTCCCCTCTTGTACCCAAGTTCCCGAGCCGAGGCAACTTTGGTGATGACAGACACGTGGCCTTAGGCATGAGTCAGGGTTTCCTAAATTTTTCGCATGAGTCAGGGTTTTCTAAATTTCCAAAAATAAAATATTTAGGTGGCGACTCTGAAATCTGGCAAAGCAATCTATGTTTGGCGCTTTTTGATTAAAATCGATTTTCCAAAACGATTTGCCGGATTTGGACTCTTTGGTGATTTATCAGTCTTACATTGCACTTTGTGAGATTAGATTTAGAACCGTGACAGGAGTCTGAACTATAGTAGCTAGAACCCAAATCCACGCACTCTCCGAAAGGGGGCGCGCGGAGAGAGTTCGGGACGGTCTACAGTTTCTGGCGACTCTGCTGGGGATTTAGAGAACTTGACTCGAACATCATGACATGTTGTTTTATCTACACTTATGTGTTTCTTTGCATTGCATTTGCATTGGTGCGTCTAGGATACCGTGTTTGCCATCTACTATTCCTGAACGGTTTACCGGAGGCTTGCTCGAAAAAGCGTGCCATAAGGCTGACCGGTTACAGGCTCTACCACGATGGGAACACAAACCTCGGTTTTTACCGAGGCATCCTTTTTAACCATTCGACCTAGTGCATATCGGAAGCCGTAAAGACCATTCCAAACTAGGACAGGTTGCTTACCCGATAGTAGGTTGTTTGAAAACCGCTGCATGTGTAGTGAAACCCTAGCTCCTGACAAAATAGGACAAGGAAACCCTACCCCACCATAGGGGTGTTTTGGCTCTCATTTGCTTGCTATGTGCTTTTAGAGTGCGTCTCTACAGGAATGCATGTATCAATTTGCAAGTCTGAGTATCAATCTGAGGACATCAGTATTTGAGGGTATTAGATTTGGGGCAGTGATTTGGGGGTAGCGATTAGTGTTTGAGAATAGTTCTTTCAGCTTGTGATTATCAATTGTGTGTTGTGTTTATTTAAGCCGAAATGCTGTCCGTTTTTCTGCTTGTTGTTTCCTTATTTTGCTTTATTTATCTTTTTACAGGGTAGTATAACATCATTGCTTCCAAGGAGGTAGTTTCCCCCAAAGCACTCTGGGTTAGAGGTAGAAGGCTTCATCGATCCGAGGATCTAGTTGATGGACAAGCAGTGTTCTTTTCATTACCCCCGGTTGCAAGGCAGAGGGCAGTTAGGCAGGGAATATCAGTACAATAATCGTTGGTTCAGCGATCATTGTCCACCCCACCAGTGAGTAGTCGGGCTGAGGTTTCCGTTTCTACCACAGAGAGAGATACACCTATTTAGTTAGATCAGCACCTTATGGCAGGTATGGAGGACATGATGCGTCAGCTCTAAGAGACCATGCAAGCCATGCAGCGGGATACTGCCCGCAGGCCGAGGTTACTGCACGCCAGCCAGAAGTGGTAACTCAATAGGCAGAGTTGATTGCCAGACTTCAGCAACAGCAGCAACCACAACAAGCCGGAGCATTTGCTTCACATCCACCCCCACCCCCACCTAGAGTTCCAACACTCGGGGATAATGTAAACGTCCAGGAGGATACGGACGCTCCAACGGGGCCAGTCCCGCCACCAGTTCTACCACAGACTTCAAAGACACCGACCTTCTCAACAGATACACCGTTTGAATCTGAGATGGACCCAACTGCTTTGAAGATGAGTAAGCTTGAAAAGCTGTTTAAACAGGCCCAGGGGGTCAATTCCATTCCAGACATAGAGGATGGTTACACTGATTCGACAGTAACATTGCCAGACAAATTCAAGATGCCTCACATAGACCGTTTTGACGGCTCGGGTGACCCTATGGTTCACCTGAGGCTGTTCTCAGATATTTTGTGCCAGATGGGCTTGACGAGACTCCAGAAACTATCACTCTTCGGTCGGACCCTGTCGGGTATTGCGGCTATTTGGTATGCCAAGCTGGAGGACTCAGTGAAAAGGAGCTGGGAGGAAATAGCTGAGGCCTTCGTCGCACAATATTCATACAATACCCAGATTGAAGTCACGACCTGTGATCTTGAAGCGACCAGGCAAGAGCCGAAAGAAGGCTTTTCTGACTTTGTCACTCGATGGAGGGCCAAGGCCTCCATGATGACAACTCGGCCATTGGAGAAGGATTAGAAAAGAATGGTTGTGCGCAACCTCCAACCCAAGCTGATGCAGAAAATGATCGTCTTACCCCTCCCCACGTTTGCGGACTTACATGAGATTGGGGTACAGATTGAGGACGTTATGAAGCAAGGTCAGATTGACCAAGACAGGGAACAACCCAAGAGGGCATTTACACGTAGTTCGAATGCAGGCACGAGTAGTACTGCAGCTGCCAGAACTTCTAATGTGGGCATGGTCACCACCACTACCCAAAAAACAGCCACACCTTTCACCAGTACATCCAAAACTGCCTCTCAACCAGCAAACTATCCACCCCGAGGCAAGAGGGTTTTTACCCCACTTTATATGCCTTTGTCTAAAGCTCTAGGGGTCCTACTCAGGAAAGGACATCTGAAACCATTAGAACAACGGCCTTTACCCGATCCTCTCCCTCCAAAGCATGACCCGACTAAATACTATGCATTCCATCGGCAGCAAGGTCACGACACCGACTTCTGCTTTCAACTACGTCATGAGATTCAAGATCTCATTGACAACAAGGTGATTGCACCCCCAGACAAACCAAATTTCACCACCAACCCACTCCCACAATACACTACAAGAAAATGCACTTTTGGCGACTAAAGTTTTAGTCGCCAAAAATAAGGTTTTTAGTCGCCGAAGTCTTTTCCCGACTAAATATTTTGTCGCTAGATTTGTCGCGGAAAAACAGTCGGGGAAGGTTTTCGCGACTAAATTTTTTTTAGTCGCCAAAAGCTCTATAAATGGCAACTAATATTTTTAGTCCCCAAAAATAATATTTTAGTCACCAAAAATTTTATTTTACGCTACTAAAACTTTGGTCTCCAAAACTTGCAGTATCTACGGTGACCAAAGTTTTAGTCGCCAAAGGGTATTTTTTCCATCTTATTTTATTATTATTATTTTTTTAGCTACTAAATTCTTAGTCGCCTAAAGTCTTTTTTTATTTCAGCTACTAAACATTTAGTAGCCAAAATTTTTTCTCTATTTTATTTTTATTTTTAGCTACTAAATATTTAGTAGCCAAAAGTTTTTTTTCTATTTTTTTTTTAATTTTTAGCTACTAACATGACAGTTGTATTTAAATAAAGAATTAGCAAATTACAAGCTTGGGTGGGAAGACAGTTCCATAGCTTGCGTGGGATTTATTCCAAACAATATCTAAATAAATATAATTTGTATACAGAACAAATTATCCACAAATTTTTTTTTTCCTGTCAATCCATAAATCAACACAATGAGACAAACTCAGAACATTTATAATCAAGTTGTGGGTGAGATTCCATCCCAGATCTCAATTAACCTTTATCCCAAATCCAAGTGAACTTCTGCAGCTTGGCCTACACTGTAAAGCCATTTGTCAAAACATTAAAATGATAGCTACCTAAGAAAACAGTGGTTGTAACATCCATAGTGTCCAAATCTGAACCATTTTCCAAACTAATAAAGTAAGTCATTTTATTGACATTGTAGTGTCAGTTTCTCCAAACTAATGAAGTAAAAAAATCATCATTTAGTTTGTCAATAAACTAATCATTTTAGTCTGAAATTTATAGACAAACTGAAATTTATATTCAAGCTGGTAATGATGAACATAGTAAAGGCCAAAAATGAATATTCAGAAGGCAAACAATTTAGCATTTGCAGTTTGCTTCCTAAGGTAAGACAAAATCACCTCTGTTTGTATAATTGTATCATTTTAGCTTCCATTCTCTCTGATCTCACAATAAATCCCCCATTACTTAACCTGGATGGGAGAAACAAACACAGTTTCTATCACATTAAATGCATTGAACAAGCTTCAAGTAAAAGCAAAATCAACTTTAGATTACCTTTCCTTGTAGAGAACAGGGTATATCCGTGTGACTCCAATTAATGTGCTAGGAACTGGACCTCCCATACCCTTGATACATCCAAATGCTAATGGAGCACCACCACCCTTACCTAGAGATAAAGATTAGAACATGTTCAAGCAAGATGAAACTGAAATGTGTTGCTACAAGATAATAAGGGCAAGTAGACAAGAATGCACGTAACTACTTAAACACTTACATAACCCCAAACGATCAGCCCAATGAGCTCTATATGTCCCATTCATGTGCATTAGAAGACCAACTGTGCTAGATGCCTGACACTAAAGCAAAAACTTGATCAAACCCTATAGTTACCATTGAAGTTTTAGCCAAACGACTTATATAGTAACTTAAACTGGGTAATAACCTCAAGAGGTGAAATAGGCCCAGCCCAACCACTTAATCCAGCTCCCCAGATCTTCAGATGACAACATAAATTGTAAGCAATAGGAAGTTCTAACCGGATATCTAGTCAAAAGAAGAAATGGAAAATAGTGAAACCAAAGAAGTACCCTAAGTTTCTGTCCCACAAACAATTGCCCAGTAGCCAGCTTCTTCATTAGCAGTGCATCTAATATAGCATTGATTGAGTACCTATAAAAACAAATGACATTCACATACCCCCAAAAAGCACACCAAGTTATAGCCTACATATGAAAACTACATAACAAACCAACAAACCCAAGAAATTTTGTAATTGAAACCAAGTATCATGGTATTGCCATTATCTCTATAGCTTTATTGTGATTAATATTATCGATGAAAATAGGAGGACAAAAGTGGATATAGATTTCCTTTTATAAACAAAGGGTTATAAAACTCCCCACAGGCTATGTTTCGCACAGATTTGTCACATTGGGACTGATAATGATGTAAATGATAGCTAACTCTCATGCTTGTAGCTTTGTCTCCTTCTTGACTTCACTGGCAATATGGACCCCAACCCAACCTCACCTCTTGTTTTGTATAGTTAAAAATGATAATATATATATATATATATATTTATTTATTATAACACTTCAGTTGGTGTAGACGAAAGTCACTACAACATTTTCTTAGTTTAGTGACATTTGAAAGTGCCACAAAACTATTCTTCTAATGACATTTTTTGGTCTTGTGGCATTTTGAACAAGTGCCACTTCTATCGGTGCCACGGTAGATACGAGTGCCACGGTAGATACTTGCAAGTGCCACTGCACCATCATGGCTGAAAACTTTCAATGACATTTTAATGTCATGGTAGATATTATTTGTGGCACTATCAAGCGCCATTAAAAAAAGAGTTAGTGACACTTACAAGTGTCATTACACCATCAAGACTAAAACCTTTCAGTGACAAACAGGGTCCTTCCCGTTTTTTGCTATCTGTTTGAATTATTAACAGATTCAAATCTGTTTGAATTCAAAA